AATCAATTAGTGCTAGAGCAATATGGTAAGCTGGCTCGCTTGCGCTGAGAGAGCACTAATCCAATTAATATTCCTTTCAGAACCAAAAAATCTTCTTTCATCGAGTTGTATTTGGCTTAAGTAAAAGGAACAGTCAAGAATGTGACTCGATTTATTCTTCTATTTACGTTGTTTTTCTTAAATTACACAATAAAGTATACGTAGTTATCGTTAAGATAAAGACCAAGATGTTGTGGCCTCTATTTTGGTCGCAATCTTCTTTCGCGGTATAGAAGTGATCTGACCTCGTTTTCATAATTTTGTCGTGTTGTCAACCCGACTTAATTAGATGCACCTTGTCCGAAATCCTCTGTTGTTAGTTATGATAATTCCCGACGTTAGACCGTGGATTTGGTACATTCCCAGGAGTGATAATACAACCTTTCGTCTGAAAGTTGATCAAGTAATTGATTAGAATTGTCTCTAACGCATCGTAGCATTGTGCTAAGGGTGACAGAACTCACTGACGGTGCCAGGGAAATATCTGGTAATATACTGAGTCCATGATCCAGCAGTAGGAATTATCATAACTACTATAGCAGAGGTTTATTCAACTAGGTCCGCTTGACAGCACGACCAAGATGCGAAAACGAGGTCCGACTACTTATGTACGTACTTATTTTGTATGAAAATTAAAATTAATCATTGGAAGCCATTAATTTTCTATGGTTTATTAACTGGCATAATCAACTTTTCATATATATTTTTAGAGGCAGTGGCGTCTCACATTGCCTTCTAAGATCTATAAAAAAAGGTGTTGACATTTACGTATTATATTAGTTTAAAGTAGATTTTTAACCAGGGACTATTACCCTATTTTAATTTGCAGATATTCACTTTTGATGTTGCCGAAACCCTATCCGAATGCCGTATGGAGATGAATTTTACTTCACTCGAAAAGACACCTAGATTACATTCTTATTGTTCCAAAGTAGAGAATGGCAACTCAAATCAACGTGAAAATGAGAAGCTTGCCTCTTCGAATAGGCCCATTTCCGACCCTTTGCGAGAACAGACAGGCTTTACTAATTCTCCTATCCAAGAGGATGCTTGCTCTGTAATATTCGAAGCTGCAAAGCACAGGGAGCGTCTGAATAAAATGCGATTAGAATTTATAACTAACCAATCTGATTTTTTGTCCAGGCGAATTAACTTATTCGACGACTTGGCAGCCTTGAAGCCAACATCTCTAGCCTTCTCCCTGGCTAGTAACAAACAGTCGCAAAACTCCACGCCACGCGAAAATCATTGTGTTTTAAGCCCACATACTCCATCACATTCGTATGCACCATCAGATACACACTTCTCAGCCGATCCACTTGACTTTCATGGTGATCAACCTCAAAGAAACAGTACTAAAGTATGCTTACAAAAGCCGAACTTTCAGTCTCACAGTAGCGTCTATGATCCTTATAAAAATGAAATATCCACATCCGACCCTCAAAAGATTTCCACGATTCAGATACGCCCTGTGGAAGATATTACTTTCGAGCCTCAGTTTGCGGAGCAGATTCATGTGCCTTCTTCTTCTGAAATGGCTGCCGCCTACAATTCTTCCTCCATTTTACTTTCTCCTTCCTCTCCATCCTCTGATGAAGATGTTGAAGGTCAGTACTATGATGCCGAGAGTGGATTAAGTTATATTTCCAGACCACTTACAAAAGCAGACAATCAAATCAGTCACTCCTCTAACTTAAGTAATCTTCAGAGCTTCGTATTCTCGAATGAGAATTCTGCCAATTTTGTTGATCGCAGGTTTGAATCGCACACATTCCCTAAGGATATTTTCCAACGTCGCTTTAGAGGAATTATTCCAGTCAACGTTGCAGCCGACTCTGGTGGACTACCGGTTATTTTTGAGCGCTCAGAGAGCCAAGCACCTTCTTCGCCCTCTGCTGGAGGTGATGAAGATAATACAAGTCTTCTCCACACCCGGTCACCAAGTTTCCACTCCCAGCCGCATATAGGAGATTTAGATGATGAGATTACTGATTTTCCTAATTTGCCTTCTTCATTCCCTAGTCACAGGCTAGCCAAGCCTCTGGATAAGTTTCCGTCGCCTACAAATGCCCATAACAACACAGATAATTTAAGCATATACTCTTTTCATGAGCCGACACGAGGTAATGCGTCTCCTACTC